AAAAAGTCTGTTTGGATATTTAAGGTCTCATAAAATGTAACATCGAGAGAGACTTGTGGAGTATCAGAGCTGGAAACAATCATGAAAACCAGGTAGTCCAGCCCCCTGCTTTTAGCGATGAGGCTACAGAGCTGAGGGAGGTCAAGTGATTTATCCAGGTTACATGGCTGCAAGGAGGGGTAGAGAGCCAGGACTAGAACAGACCTAAGCCAGTATATTTCCAACATTATCACATATTACTAATCATCTAGAAACACTGAGCCAAAGTATGAACCATGGCTCATAAGTGAGAGAATCTTAGCAATAGAAGAGACCTTGGAGGTCATGCAGCGCCATCTCCCTCCTGATGCAGAAATCCTCTTGGTGACATCCTTGACAGATGGCCACTATTCTCTACTGGCTTAACTCTGATGCCAGAAAACTCAGTGCTTTACAAGGCACCTTGTTTTGCCTTTGAACAAAAGGTCAAACTTGTATTTTTAAAAGATCAGTCCAGAAGGAGTGAGGGTGGCCAGAGGTGAATGACATATTTTTAGTGATGGTGAGGAATTTTACTCTCTTTATCATCTTAAAATGAGGATAATAATGCTGACCGTGTAGTGTCATTGTGCGGATTAGAGGTGCAGTTTATAAAGCATCTACCATAGTGGTTGCTTCAAAATAAGAACTCAAATTATAGTCATCATTGACTTTTATCATCATGATCCCATTTTTTTGAAATTATGCCCTCTGGAGTAACATAGACTATGTCTAATCCCACAAATATTTGAAAGCAGTTAGCATGACCCTCTAAGTCTTTTCTTCTTCAGACTAAATATTCCCTGATTCTTCTATAGTTCTTCCTGTAATGCATTTTGGATGCCTTCATTGCTTTCATTCCCTCCTATTTGTCAATTTCCCCCTTAAAATGTGGTGGCCAAATGTGGTCAGTTCAACGTGCTCTACAGTGGAATAATTACTTCCCTTGATCTGGACATTGTACTTCTCCTACAGCAACCTAGATTTATGTTAGCATTTTTGAAGGCCAGATCACAAATTTGGCTCAAGTAAAACCTGACTCTACTACCCAGAACATAAGTTATGCCTCCCAACATTGTGTCAACTGCAGATTTGATAAGCATGATTTTTACATCTTCATCCAAGCTGTTGATAAAAGTGTTGAACAAGAGAAGGCCAGAGTCTGAGCCTCGAGGAACATCTCTGATCCTTCCCTGTATATTGACCCCCATCCGCTGGTTTGGTGACACTGTTTCATCAGCTCTAAATCTCTGCACCTATACTAGCAAAAATAACTCTGCAAGATGTGGTCACTCGTTGTGTTTTTGAAATTGGATATTTAATTTATCCGGAGGTAAAATGCCATTCTTTTATCAATGAAGACAGGTTTTGAACCCATAATTGGGAAAATGTGAACTCAGAAAATAATTTCATGTTTGAGTTACTATGTAATGCTTAAAGGGAAAAAAATATCATCTTCTCTTAATGTGAAATGATAATGCTTGCCTAATTGTTTATTTTTCCAAAACGTTTTGAAATTACTCTCTGGGTCTGGGGGAGGGAGTGTGGAGAATTTGTGGATTTCATGTGTGGTAGAAAAAAAGATTATTGAAGAATTAGAATACAACTTTTAGGAGCCTTTTCCATCTCAGGTGGGGATCACAGAGACAAAGAGATGTCTTAAATGTTGGTGGGAGAGGATGTGAGGTATAGTCCTGCATAGTTCTTAAAATTCTTTTTAATGAGTCTCATTAAAGAGGCTCTTCTTTCTTTGATTTAACACACTTCACTCTGAAGAAATCAAACCAACTTCTTTGTGCTACAGCACAGATCGGTTTTTCCTAGTTTTCATGGTGGAGATGGAATTGTTGTTGCCAACCTTTGAGCCAAAGTGCTCAAAGATTCAGAGCTCAATTCTTGGCATCTTCCTCCAAGAGCTCATTTAATATTTTCTCAAAGGCTTTACTTCCAGTCTACATCCCATGTTTGTGGGTTTCTTCTTAACTCTGGTCCTTTCTATTTCTCTAGCCCATAACCAAACAAGTACCTTAATATCTAAAACTCTATTACCGTGAGCATACTTTGAGATCTCAATAAACAAAAAGTTAGCACTCTCAAAAATTGACCAGGGAATAAAAGACCCCCTCATACTGAATATTTTAGGAATGTCATTTTATAGTTTACTCACTCACTCAGTATTTATTGAGCACTTACTATATTACAGGCACTGATCTAGGCAACAGAGGCAATGGGGAGTAAAATCAGATTTAGTCTCTTCTCATATTGTGCTTATGTTCTCTAGGAAGAAACGTGTTGATCAAACCAAAACTATTGTGAACTTGTAAAAAGTACTGCGAAGGAGAGGGTCCCCATCACTACAGAGGTCAGGGAAGTCTTCCTTACATGATGCTTAATCTGAGATTTGAAGGTCGAGTCAGGGGAGGGCCCAGGTAGCAGAAAACAGCATATCCCAAGCCCCTGTGCTGAAATGGAGCACGGGCAGTACGAGGGCAAGAACATGCTAGAAAGGTGGAGTGAAGAGCAGAGAGCAAGAGTGAGAATAGCGTGAGATGAGCTGGGAGGTAGGAAGGGTCCCCTACAGGCCTTGTAGATCACACAAAGAGCGCTCTCGGTGTCTTCTGAGCCATGAAAGCCATCTGCGAAGCTTGTCGGGTCAGGGTAGGAGGGTGTGGTTGGGTAAGGAGAATTGTATGATGTGATTAGTTTTGTCTTTCGAAAAGATCACTGTGGCTGTGTATGGGCAAAAGGAAAAAGGGAAGCCATAGTGAGTGACAGATCAGTTAGGAGACTACTATCTAGTCCAGGAAAGGGGACGATGCTGGTTGGGTGTAGGTTGGCAGAAGGTGAAATGGAAAGATAGAAAGAGATGAAGGATGTGTAGGTTGAATTTGCAATACTAGGGGACTGCATATGGGGGTGATGGAAAAGAGGTATCAAGGGCCACTCAAGGAGGATTCATACATTTTATATCCTTCTTTGGCAATTTAAAGATAATTATTTTAAGTTTTAGATTATGTAGCTGTACTCATAATCCTTGATAGCACAGCACAACAGAAATAATTCTAAAAAGAAAGTCTGAAATCCTTCCGTGCCTCAGATCTATTATTGGCAAAGTAGGTGACTGTGAGCAGGATGAAAAATTGTTGAGTATCTCCGAGGATCCAAACAACAGAGGAAAAAAAAATATTTGTAGTCATTGACTTCATCAAGGCCTCATTAAGACCCAGGGAAATATGTTTGTTAAGGCTCACTTTTAAAAGAAGTAACACAATTATCTTTATTTTCATTATTATTTTAGTTCAATTCTCTATGTCTCCAGGCCCTATAAAAAGAACTTAAGCATATCCCTACACTGCCACTCCAACACAAATCACCATTTCCTTTCATCTTGCTTTAACCAACCACAATATTTTCCCACGTCAGAGAAACCTTCCAGTGTATAAGAGGAGCCTTTGAACCACGTGTGTGTATAAAAGCCTGTTCATGCCTCTGGGATCCCACGATAACACAGTCGGCTCGCCGTCTAAACCAGGTGCCCAGTTTCCATCTGGACTCCTGACGAACTGTGTGGTCAGGATTTAGAAATCAGAAATCTGGGAAAGGTGCAATGTGATGGACACAACCACCCCAAATACCATATATGTTATCACCATCATTTAACACATAGTGCAGGAAATCCTGTTCTTTGCAGAAGAACTTCAAAGAACCACTTCTGGTTCTCCTGGGTAACATTTATTTTTTTCTTTGCTAACCCCAAAGCACAGACAGATATATATTTTCCCTCTAGTAAATTGCTAGTGACACTCCATTTCTTTCCTGCCATCCTCAACCCCATTGTCCAACTGACCTCTCGAATTTCACTACCCTTCTAGGCTGAGGAGCTGTGCTTAGCTATTTACAGAGGCCCACTTACTTCCTTGGCTTTACCCTGTACTTTCCCTTTCTTTTCTAGGCTCTGAATTTCTCACCTTTTAGCCCCGCCATGTTGATGAGACTTCCTCTGCCCCCGTGTGAATCCTCTTCTTTTGTCCCAGTAACTTTTTTTCTAGGAAGAGCTGTCTTTTAAGACAGCTTTACCTTGCATGTTTTACCTTGCTTTTGCATTTTAAACGAAGAAACCTTCTTTCAAGTCATCAGAAATAAACACATGATATTAGTTCCCTTAAGTGACTCAGATGTCTCATTTATGCCTTCACTAGTTTATTCAGGCAGTGTATGTTTACTGAGTGCCTACTGTGTTCCAAGCACCACGAGAGAGAGTTATGAACACAAACATTCTACTTTCTAGAGTAAGACAGCGAACAAGTAAATGAATAAACAGTCATTGTTCTGTATTCCATTATTCCATAAAAATTGTTAGAGATTGATTTTATGGACATGCAGCAGAAAGTTGCAACTTTTGCCCTTGGCATTGGATTCCAGATACCCGATCGTCTGTTCCAGTCATCCATCCTCACTCTCCAGGTAGTTGAACTTGGGTCATGAGTACCCAGATTATGATTTGGAAAAGTAGTAGTTTCCTGGGGAAAAAAAAGTAGGTCGTTGGCCACTCTCATAGGACTGAAAAAGAAACAGTAACCCAGTGTGCGTGTCATTCAAAGCAGGATGTTGAGTGGTTCTTCACTAAATCATAGTATTGTGCACTTACCATGGAAATCATTTTCGAATGCAGTATATATCACACCAGTTCAGAGAAGATATGCACCAAATGTCTCTGATATAAACCTCACATCAGGATGGTGACAGAGTGATTAGTGAACTTCAAGGTATTTTGTTATGTGCTTTACTGTTAGGGTAAATAGTTATTTTTCATCTGCTCATAGTTGTAAGTTATAACAAGATGGATGGATCCATGGCTTGCCAGAAGCCATAACTCTTTATTTAGTTGACATGACCAGATTCCTAATTTTGTCCTCTGAGAGCTTGAGAGTACAATAAAACATTGACTTCTTCTGACCTTCCCCTCTGTCTTCTCTGGGCAGAATATCTCGATGCATAACACAGTTGGTGGGGCCATGGCGGGGCCCGGAGCTCACCAGCTTGGCAGCACCCGGATGCCCAACCATGACACCAGTGTTGTGATTCAGCAAGCCATGCCGTCACCCCAGTCCAGCTCTGTCATCACCCAGGCACCTTCTACCAACCGCCAGATCGGGTAAGGAGACTTCCTCGGCTGTCTCTGGGGCCTGGCTGGAGCTCAGAGAATGTTCTCGACTTTCTTCTTGTTTCTGGTGCTCAGACTGGATGAGAGAGAAGTTGGTGTTCCTGGTTGGCGTGAGATCAGCTGGCACTTACAGTGATGCTTTTAAAGGGAGAAGGGAGGGGAGCCCCCATCTGGTGGAGACTATTTGATCCTGGACTTTGGGGGGCAAAGCAAGTCATTCTGTGTCATCATTTCTTCAGACAAGATTTGTGACTGTGGAAAACGCCTTGGGTGTTACGGAGAGCAGAGCATAGTTTCCAGGACAAATGCTTAAGGATGGTAGAGGGAAGTTTCACCAGCCCACTTTCCTCCCCAACAGAGTGTGTCCCTTTTTTCCTAAGATCTGCTAAGCACATCCCCTGGGTTTTTCATGTATTTCCAGTCTTCCTTCCTCCGATGATTCTTCCTTCTTTTCCTTGTTAATACCTCTTTATTAGCTCTCCCCTTCCTCTGTATTGGTCCAGGCTCATTCCTGGTGTTGACAAAACAAAAAAAAAAGTAAGCCGTTTCCCCCTTATTTATGTAAAAAAGACAACACTGTGGTATTGAGCAAAATTGGTAGAAAGCTCCTATCAGAATCCCAGACACTCTGAATTTTCACTTCTGAGTCTCAGGAAACAACTCTAGCCCCTGGCTACTCGGAGTGTGGTCTGAGGACCCGAAGCCTGGGCATGACCCGCTAGCTTCTCAGAAATGTGGAATCTCTGGCCTGCTTCCTTACCTTCAGGTTGATGGTGGTGTGTCTTCTTTCCACCCTTACAAGAGCAGAGTGAAGAGGAAATAAAAGATTTAAGAGCAGTCAGGTTCTTAGGAAGAAAAGGTAGTAACTTAAGCCAAAGTGCTCTGATAAATTTATATTGCTGGAAGCTGAGAACTGCTTGCTGTATGTTCCCAGAATTCTCTCTTTAAAATAGGAAAAGGAGCTTGTGGTGTTTAGTATGTGCATCAGAATTTAGTGTGAATATTCAGTTGAATATTGGATATGGTGATTAAAAAAAAACCCATTAGAAGCTGCCTGACAACTTGCAACTGTGTCTTTCCCCCTTTGTTTTTGTTTTTGTTTTTTTTAAAGATTTTATTTTTAAGTACCTCTACACCCAACGTGGGGCTTGAACTCACAACCCCAAGATTAAGAGTTGCATGCTTTACCGATTAAGCCAGCCATACGCTATCCCCCTCCCCCCTTTTTTTTAATGCTTGTAAGGATTTCAGATCAAGAGCGAGCACCAGGAACAACATTGGCTTATTCCTCCTTAGAATGCCCTAGAAGGCGGGGGGGGACCTTGTCTCTCACATTTCTCAACTTACCAGATGGGTTGTGATTTGCGAAGACCCATCTTAACAAAAGAGAGCTGTGAGCAATGACTGTTTTGTGAGTCTTTCATGGGTACGTACATTTGGTTTCCCATTTAAGAAACAGAATATTACTCTGGCCATTTGAATGCTTGGCTTTGTTGGAAGAAGCCAATACTAAATTAGCTAGTATCCCTGTTAAATATTTCTTTTGTTTTCAAATGACTATGGGGGCAGATATTGCCACCATCTAAAGCAAGAACCTATAATACACTAAGAGAGTGGAGTGGGTTCTTTAAAGACAGCATCTAAATTTCAAGGGACTCTTTCACTCTAGTGGTTTGGCTTTGGGCAGACAATTCACAGTTAGGCCAGCTAATTATAATTATTTTATTTTTCTTTCAAGGGGAAAAAAACATAAAATGTGTTGGAGTTTACTAGCAGTTTTATAACATTCCTCCCCCGCTGGAGTTCTCCTGCCTCCCCCTCCCCCCACCCCAGCTACCCTCTTGGAGGTCCTTAGTATTGTTAGTACAATGCTGGTTTTTGTGAAACAATCTTTTAAGGGTTAGCACTCAATTCTAAGATGGGTGTTGACTCTGTCAATAATTTACCCAGCTGGCCCAGGGCTGTACAGTTGGGTGACATTTCCAGGCTGTGTCACTGTGCCTGGATGAGTGGGAGTGTTTTTCTGGTACATGTGACCTCCCAACCCACTCCATCTTCTCATTTACTCCCAATCCTGGGGTGTTGTGTGTCTCTCCTGGTGTGTTCTAGGAGATAATTGTCACTTTTGGGACTCTGTCTCATTGCCAAGCTTGAGGGAGGCTGCTTCTTTTCTTCAGATCCTTCCCTGTCGTGCTTACCATGTTGATTCCAACCCACACATCCTGTCATTTCCATTTTCTCCATGTGACCCATCCAAAACCTTGCCCGGATGACCATGGGGGCTCAGCAAGGAACAACCCAACCCATCTCACCAGTGGATTCAGAATGAAACTCTAGGTGGTAACATTTGGGGATGGTTGACTCTTTTATTTCTCCCAGCAAAGAGGAAATGAGTACTTATTTTAAAACATGAGTTCCCTCTGGAGACTGTGTCTTTAAATGAGCATTTGAAATTGCAGATATTTTTTTTTTGAGACTGCACAGAACCATATTGTAGTAATATTCTGATTTTTATCACAACCTCAAATATTTAAGTGTCAAAATCTGGCCAAGCCACCTGCAAATGTTTGCGATGGCTACTGGCCAACAAAAACAGCAAACAGCAATGAAAGTCTTCATTCAGGCTCAGCGCTTAAGCTGCATCCAAGCAGGGAGGCTGGGACCCACCTGTGCCCACGCACAGTGCTGTTTGCTGTGGCCAGTGGGTGTGTTCACGACTGGAACTTTGTGGGAGAGGGAGGGGGCCGCCTGTCTCCTGCTCCCCCTTTTTCCTTCCCTTCTCCCAGTGCTTGGCTTCTGCTGCCAACCTTACTTTTGCTTTCTTTTCTGCCCCTTCTTTCATGCTGTATTTAAGCTTAGAGGCTTGAATGTATTGGGAGTGGTGTGGACAAGGAAGAGCTTGGAAATGGGAACAGCATTGGTGTCTGGGGAAGATTTGGGGGGACTAAATGTATGCATTTTTGTAAGCATTTGATTTTCATGCTTTTTGAGCAGGCGCTGAGCCAATGCAGACCAAAATGGGTGGAAATGCAAAAATCCAAAGAAATAAATGTAAAAGTAGGTAGATAAGCAACACAGGCAACGTCCATGCTGTCCCATATCACCCCCCACCATGCCCTATGCTCAGTTCTGTCAAAGTAATGCTGTTATCCCAATAGAAACTGGAGGTAAGTATAAATATCCCAAATTGCACTCGTGTGGTTAGGCAGGCTAGAAAAACACACGGTGCTAGAGAGTGTGGGAGGCATCCCCAAACTAGAGACTACTTGTGCTTAGTCAGACTGGCAGACGCTCTGTCGGGAAGAGTGTCTTTGGCTGATTGATGGTAGCATTTTAGGAGATAAGTTTTCCAGATGGAAAAAAAAAAAAGAGTTGAGCCATGGGCTGTGGGGGAGACAAGTGAGACAGAAAACAAGCATGTGTTAAATATAGATGAAATCGATTCAGCCTTGGACCAAATATGTGGCAGATTCCAAGCAGTATCTCTATTGCAGTCATTTTTATTAGATATCATGTAACAGGCTCATTAATTCAGGATTAAGTCAGCAGAACCTGGGAAAAATGGTAGATGAGCGTGTAAGTGGTCACGTACATCCCTTTCTCTGTCTCTTACTCTCTCTTTGTCTCTCTCTGTCTCTTTTCACATGCGATGTTTTTGTAGGAGCCAATGAGCAGTTGAGGAGGTGGCTATAATCTTAATAGATCCCAGCTTTCCTAAAGAAGCCTATTTCTCTTTATGGAGTAAGTGTGAGCAGGTAATTCATGCTCAGTAATTCTTCAGGAGAGCAATGAAGATAATATGGAATGTGGAGATCTGGGAGGATGGACATGAGTACAGAATTCTGATAGGTTGTGGGAGGCACTGCCACTGTATTCCACACATTTTCTTCCTGTATTCTTTTTGTATTCAAAATGTTCTACAAATTCAATTCTCTGTAGGGATTTGGGCAAATAAGCTTGCGAGGTGATTGGTGAAAATTATTTGATCATAATAGTTTACAATACAGCAATGTTCTATGCCTAACATCAAAATATACAGGTGTTCCTACCAAGGCTCATATTTGGACAGAAGATATCTGGCTCATCGTGGAATATTCTAGTTAAAATATCAGGAAACTTGAAAATATGGTCACCAGCATGCATCTATGAAGCCATTTATGTATGAAATTCCTCCCTGATTTTACATCACTCATAGTGATGGCACATACATGTCCATGTCCATGTGATGTCATAAACCCTATTTGCATGGGGTTGTAGCCAGGCAGTATATACCCAATACTTAGCCAGAAATTTATATAAAATGCCATAGAAGCAAATCTTGTTTTATGTAAAATAAAGAGAAGCCAATACTCATCATAAACTGTGCCTTCTCTCACCCTTTCTGCACTTCTTTCTCTCTTTTCTCTCTGCAATTCCTGACACTGTATATCATACAGAATATCAGGTGTAGCTCAGTGGACATGACCAAGGAAAATAATAATAATAGTAATAATAATAAAAGCTTGTTACATCTCAGATGTGTTGTTGTCAAAAGCAGTGCTACCTTTTCTACCAGAGTCATATGGCTTTGTTGTAGGAGTTGGTGTTGCTGTTTGAGGTGTCCATTGAGATGGGAATGGTAATTGATTTGAGGATTTTTGTGTCACTGTTCCTCGGGGTGTGGGGGGGGGCGGAATGAGAGGTCCATAAATGACACTGTCACAGAAAAGCAACATTTAAAGAAGACTTCAATAGGACAGCTTAGGAATGTGCTTGCTCTGTAAATGTGTAGGTGTGTAAAATCACTATTAAGAGTTTTCTTGAGCTGAGCATGATTAAGACTGTCACTGCCCACCACAGGCTGATGCCAGTGACATCCAGGCCAGCCTTCTTTCTGCTGGAGGCAGCAGACCAGCAGATCCCAGGTTGACACTGGCCCACAGCCCTTTGCCAGGATAGCTTGAAGACTCCCTTGAGGAATTCAGAAGAGAAGCCATTACTTCCTGCTTTGT